CATAATCTCTCTCCCTCTTCTCATATTCAATCATTTGACAAATCCTCTTGGTTCTTCCTTTGAAGACTCTCATGCATTCATTTTTTCCAGCCTCACTGACTGTTCTTTAATTCAGTGGGTCTCAAAGTGTGGTCCCCAGCCCAGCAGCAGAACCATCACCTGGGAACTTGCTAGAGAAGCAAATTCTCAGGCCCAGCCCACACCTCCTGAACCAGGAACTCCGGGGGTGGGGGCCAGCAAGCTGCGTTTTAATAAGCCCTTCAGGTAATTCTAATGCATACTGAAGTTTGCAAACCACTGCCCCAATAGAACCCTCTCCCCCTTGTCATTAGAACATTATAAATGTAATGGGTGTTTATTGTAGAACATTTGGAAAATACAGACAAGTATGAAAGTGGTAAAAAAGTACTCTATAACCCTAACACTCTGAGGGAACCACTATTTCAACATTTTCCCCCAATTTTTTAAAACACATTTATTCTTTATGCTCTTTTTATGGATTATTGCAGTGATTTCTGAGTTGTTCTGCCGGCTTTTGGTCTTCCATTTTCTGCCTTCCTCTCCCCAAATTCATCTTGGATCCACCATCGCTTTCGTCTTTTTAATTGTATCTCTGATAGTGCATCTTTCGGGCTCAGAAACATCCAGTGAGCCACCTTTGCCCCCTGAACTTAGTGCATGTAAACTGCTTATCCTGGTATTGAGGAGTTTTGTGATCTGGTGCTTGTACTCCTATCCACTAACATGTATGCTTCTTAGGGACAAAGACCTTGTCTTTCTGGCACCTAGCACAATGCCATGTACTTGGCAGGCACTCAGTAAACACCTGTTCAATGAATGAGTGCATCTTCTAATACAGTCAAGTCATATTTGATAAATCTGTTTGCGTCTTCATTTCTCCTACCTAGAGCAGCAGTTTGTGAGCAGAATCATCCTATGGTGCTTTCTCGAAATGCCTGAGCACCACTTAGGAGAGCCTGATTCATTAGGTGTGGCTTCTTGGGTGGTTTTGTGAGGCATCCCCAGTTGAGAAGCTCAGGTCTAGAACACCCCTTCGCCATTTCCACAGGTTAAGCACAGACGTATCTTTATTAGATATCCCCCTTCCAGAGTCATCGCCTCTCCCTTCCCCGGGCCTGTTGTACCAGATGTTTCACCTTGTTCCCGCTGTTAGCAGTGGGTAGTGACAGGCGAGGAGTCATCTGACTCAGGCCGGGCCAGTCAGATTATATCCCGGAGGATTTGAAGACTCCAGACAGTCTAAAGATGGTGGGTGCTAAAAGTCAGAAGGCCTCAGGACTGGGTGCTGGCAGCCACGTGTGGCCATCAGCGAGCAGTGGAAGCCAACCTGCAGGGAGGAGAGTGGAGCAGACATATTGAGGGAAGTGGGATAGACATGTGGTCTCAGAGGGAAGGAGAGATGGAAAGAAAAACTGCCTGATGCCTCCCCAGTTCCGTGCAGCCCAGCTCTGCTGCCTGCCTGGGCTTACGCTAGTCTGCTCTTATTTGTCCTCTTTGCTGGGATTTGTTTGAAGGATCCCTGACCAGGAGACCATTTCCAGGCCTGCCTCAGACTTTTCCTTATTTTTGAAAGTCTCTCTGGTCTTCCCACCTGCACCTGCTCACCTACTCAAGTTGTTCCAGCCTCGAGGGGGAGTACTGGGCTTTACATTTCACTGTTCCATAAATAGTCATGCTGCTCTAATAACCAACAGTGTTCCTTACCAGAGAAACATTTAGCAGAAGAATGCACAAAACACCAAGGGAGGAGCATTCCAAGGAAAGAACTGAGGGCGCACATGGACAGGGTTGATGGGCCTGGAATTCAGGTCTTCCAGCTCCCAGATACTTACGTGCTCTCCTGCCCATGCCCAGGTGGGGCTGCGGAATGGTCTCATCAGGTCCCCAATCAGGAAGTATTAGTGTTTCCCAAAATGAGTTCTAGGGCACACACAGGATTCTTCTGTCAAGTATGTTTGTAAAACAATGTGGACAAGACAATGCTTTAAAGAGTTCAACTTATTTCTTTGAGACTTCTCAGGGTCTGTGCTGCAAGGGTCCTTTTGGAAAGTTCATGAGGAGAACTGAGCATGGGGTTGTTTCTAAATGAATCTTCCCCTGAACCCTTATGTTGGGGAGCACGTCCCGGAGCTGAGGTTTTATGGAATAACAAGGTGGAAAAGGCCACACTAAGCCCTCCTTTGGCTTTCAGCAAAGGTCTGGATCCCCTGTTTCAGATGGACACAGACAGGCAAACGTGTGTACCCTGCTCTCCACATTGGGCAGGCTGATCCGCCACTTCCTCTTCAGGGTGAGACCTTTTTACATCTCTTGCCTCATCTGTAATGGGACAGAGAAATTAAGAAATAGATCTGAGAATGCAAGAAAGCAAAAACACACAGAGAGAAAGAAAGGCAAGCTGATTAAAGGCAGACTTCCCTCACTATACTCCCATACTTCCCCCTCTGCTTCTGGCATCTTCTGGCCAAGGCTTGCTATGTCTTTCCACTTTTGTTCACCTAGGATGACTGGTTCAGACACTGGAGGTTAAGAGCTTGCAGCTTTAAGAATGAGGGATTTCATGTGCAATAACCTTCGGCTCACATTCCCTCTTTTTGAACTCTGAGGGGGAGAGAAAGGGCTGGGTGAAAATAATGTGCCACCTCTACTTAATGTTAAGAGATTTCTAGCTATGGTGTGAATGTGGCTGGGGAACTGGGAGGGCTGGGAGCTGGTGATGGAAGGGAAGGTGGAAGGGGATGACTCCTTCCTTTCCAGGCTGGCAAGGGGCTTAGACAAAGGTCTCTGGCCTTGGTTCCTCTGGTGGAGAGTAAGCACCCTCCACTGACAGGCTGGACCTGCACTAGCCTGAGCCACAGGACACTGAGCTTGTCTTGTCCTGGCTTTATTACCAGTTCTGACCCTGACACTCTGTGGCCTCAGACTTCACAGATGATCTAATTTGTCTCTGCCCTTCTACCTTTTGCTTAACGACTCTGGGTAGGTCCCATCACGTGCTCAGTAATAGAAGGGGTGGGGCTGGATGACCTCAGGCTACCCGGGGGCTCCCACCTCTGAACTGTCTCCTGAGTGGGTGATGCCATACAACCTGGAAGTAGTAAGGTCTCCAGTGAGTCTGAAAGGCTTGTCCTTGCTGGACTGGCCACCCACCATCTTGAAGCTGTGTTAAGAGGAATGACTCTCAGATGGGGTCCGGGGGGTAGGGGTGAGTCCTAATTTTTTGAGATAGAAAATATTATCACAACCCCAGCGTGGAGTTTCCGTTCACTCCTCTCTTTGGCTAAGTTCAAAGGTACTGCGTGCTACAGAGGTTTCCCTCCAGGCCTTCTGGATGGTTTTTCTGCCGTGTTCAAATAGCTCACGATGGTCTGTGCATTGACTCAGGTGGGGGTGGCAGGAAGAGTGCTCTGGGCCTCTCCTCTGCAGAGGAACCCACCGATTTGGCTACCTGGGAGTGTTGTGCAATTAGATTTTTATTTTTGTCACCACTGGCGTGTCCTGTTGGCCTCTCTCCTTTCTCCTCTCCAAAGGCAGCTGGTTGGTGTGGCTTTAGCAGTGGGTGCCCGTCCTTTGGAGGTGCCTGGAGACTTGGAGTGGTGGCTGCAGCATTCGCTGGGTGGCTTGGGAATTGTCAGGTCCGGTTCCGAGAGCTCAGACTGCGAAGGAGATGAGACCGGCTTTCGCTCCAGGCCGGCCGCGGCGTTCAGCGCGGTGCACTGCCGCTGGAGAAGCCCCGCCGGCGCGGCCTTTAGGACGCTGCTCTTGCTCTGTGATGGCCACCCTCCCTCCCTTGGCAGACGCGCGGCCACCTGGGCGGGAGGCTGCTGCGCCTTCCCTCCCCGGGCACGAGGTGGGCGCTGGGGGTTGGCCGGACGGCCCTGGGAGGCCCGCCAGGACGCAGTAGTTGGGGAGAAATGGAATCTCCTTTTCTCACCCTCACAAGCCTCACCCGCATCGTAATTCTTTTTATTTTTACTTTCGAGCCTTGTAAGGCATGCGGATGGGGTAAGAGCGTTCCCGCTACACGTTGCCAGCAGCGCAGCGCCGGCCCGCCCGCGTGGCCGGAGCCCCGGGAGGGGACAGGCCACGCGCCGCCCGCCCCACCTGCCCCGCCGCCCCTGGTCGCGGCCGCCTCGGGTCGCGGGGCCCGCGCCGGCCCCTCTGCCCTGCGGTGCCGCAGGAGGCAAGTCCGCGCTGCCCATCCGGCCTGGGCCCCGCTGCGCCTCCGGAGCGCCCGGGCTCGGGGCGCGGGGCAGGCCGGGGCGGGGGGCGCGGGCAGGGGCCGCCCCAGCGGGTCCGCGCCCGGCGCCGCAGGCCGCCGGCGGCCAGGCCCACGTTTTCCCTCTCTCCGGCTCCCTCCGCCCCCTCCGCTCCGTCCCTCCCCTCCGCTCTCCTCCCTCCCCGCGCTTCCCCTCCTCCTGCCTGGTCATGTGTCGCCTTTTTTTGTTTGCAGTGGAAACAATTTCTCGCCGCTCGGCGCGCCCCGGCCCGACGCGCCGCGGCGGAGGCGAGCGGGAGGCGGGACGGGGCGGGGAGAGCGGCGGGGCCGGCGGGAGGACGCGCGGCGCGCCCGGCGGACGCCGCAGGTCCCATGCCGCGCCGCGACCCCCGCGCCCCTGCCGCCCGCGCCCGCGGCCGCCCCCCGCCCGCCGCTCCGGGCTCGCCGCGCCGCGCCCGCGCGTCCCTCGCCGGGCCACCAAGCGATGCCCGCTGGGCACCCGCGAAAGTTTGTGGGCTCCCGCTGAAGGGCAGCGGCGCCCCCGCGCCCCCGCGCCCCGCTCCGGCCAGGTGAGTTTGCGCCCAGCGCCCGCCAGCTCCGAGTGGGCCGGGGGCGACGCGGGGCGAGGGACTCGTCCGAGGCGGTCCCGGAGACGACCTCGCGGCTCTCGGAAGACGCTGGGCTCGCAGCTCCTGGGGGAGGGTCCGGGGTGGGCGCAGCGGGGGCCCGAGCGGGGAAGTTGCAGGTCCGAAGAGTTTCCTGCCCCGACGTGCGGGCTGTTCCCCGGTGCCTCGATTTCCGAAAAGACGCCCGAGAGGGACAGAGTTGGTATTGTCCGCGGAGGACGGGATCCCCGCCGTTCCGGGACGAGGGAGGGGTGCCGATCTGGTGAGACCCCAAGATGAGAAACAGGCTCCTAACAAAGATCCGCCCCCCCCAAACTGTGCAGACTTGGCACCGGCGGTGAACGTCTCCTGAGACCCCCGAGGCCCGACCCCTCCTCACCCTCGCCCTCTTTGAAACCCTCCCTGCGCCCTGCATAAGTTGGGGGACGGCGGGCTTTTATTGATTTGTTTTTAAGCTCGCCGCGGTGCGGCCAATAAAAGGTTTATGACATCTGACCGGCAGTGAAGGTATGCGAGCTCCCAATTGCCCTGTATACGCGGAGAAGAGCAGTTTCCCCGTTGCCCGGCAACGCCGCTGATTGACGCGGGGCGCAGCCAATCGCCGCTCCCGCAGGTCCCCTTGAAATGTTTTTGACAAGTACAGTAGACGGGAGTGGAGCGCGTGCGTGTGCGCGCGCGCGTGCAGGGGGAGGGCTGCCCGGCCCCCCAGACTCGCGGCTGCCCTGCTCGGCTTGGGGAGGATTTCTCAACTTTGCGAAGTTCACATCGAACATCTGTTCAGAGCTGGGCCAGTCATGTCTTTGTCAGTTATTTGGAGACCTGAGACTAGACAAGAAACTAAGCTTTCCCGCAGCATTTTCTCCGTTTAAAAAGAGAAAAAAAAAATAACAAAACACTCCAAGTCATGAAAAAACAAAAAGAGGGTGTGTGTGTGTGTAGGGAACGTAACCAATAACAAAGCGAGAAGTTGTAAGGAGGTCACCAGTGAATAACTATTTGCGTCTCTGGTGGAGCAACCTTGTTGGCAGCAGATTAAAAATGTTTGCTTAACTGCGGGCTCACATGATGCAGATTCTTTTTTTCCCCCCTCTAAAACAGGAGGAAAAAAAGATTTGGCGGATTCTGTTGAGTATAATAATGGAAAACTCCTCAGCTGTGGTTTCTGGGAACTGCTTTTTTAAATGGAACTGTAGTGATCAGCAGCTCTTCATACTGTTGCCATAAAATGCAGGGTTTGTCGGGATGCAGTTAGCGGAGAGCGTGGGGGACCCGGGCACAAAGCAGACGCAGGAGCCAAGGGTGCTGAACCCCCATAACCCTCTTTTCTGGACAGTGCCATTTTCCCGATAAAACCATATTGCTCGCAGTGTTTGTTTAAAACAAAAGAAAACATGGAGAATAGCGTGTTAGTTCCTTTGGGAAGCTACTGACAAATAAGCAAATTAAAAAGAAAGAGAGCAGCATGTTGTCATAGCAACAGTGCAATTAAATTACTTTACTGTCAGCCATGATATAATTTTCCTGTTTGGAAGCTCAGGAGACATCAAACTTTCATTTGGAGCTAAAGTTGACTTCAGTGGCTGGGTAGTGCTCTTTTGTATTCTACTGTGTGGATCTACTGGTAGCTGAGAAAATTTTCTGATGGGATCGGAGGAAACTTTGAGACAAGCCTAGCTTTGATTTGTTCCTAAAGAAGTGAAAAGCAGTATCAGTGTGTATGTACTCGGTCATATCCCCACACTCAAAGACACTAGCTTATTTTTTTTTTTGAAAATATGTCATGTACTTCTCAGGAGTAGCTTCCTCATCGGACAGAAAGAAATATTCCCTGTGCATGAACCTGAGGCATCGAGATGGCCCTGCCTGGGTTGGACTGTGATGCCCCATGGAAGTTTTCTCTCCTTAGGGTTGGACATGTCACAGGAGCTCCTAAGAGCGCCCCTTCAGGCTTTGTGTCCAGCAGATTCTGTCTGTTACCTTTTGGAAGAGGGAAAGTGCTGCAGTCCACTGGCACCCTTGCCTGGCTGTTTAGGGCCCCACGTTATGCTTTCTAGAATCCCGTTCTAGAGCTTCCCCAGCTGCAGTGGTGGTTGTTTCAGATGTAGTGTTAATGGACATTAAGAGACTTAGAAAGATCAGGTCTTTGCTTTTGATTGGTTCATTCATTTTTCTAGGTAGATGGCTTGGTCTTTTTACTGGGGCAGGGTGATTAAAACCAGACACGCTTAAACCAAGCACGTTGTTTTAGCACTGCAAATGGAGAGTGGGAGACCCTTTTCCTTATCGTTACTGTTCTTCTATCTTACATTGTGTGCTGGAGAGTTGAACATGCTTTGTATCTGTAGGGGACATTCTGTTTGTGGACTTGACACCTCCTCCTTTTCTCATCAGATATTATTTTATTCCCTGTTCTAGGGCATTGATAAAAATGAAGATGGTAGTGCCTCATTTTGTGGCAATTTTTGTTGAATTTGTCTTCTTGTCTTGAAGCTGGCAGTTGCTCTCTTGACTCTTTCCACCAATTCTGATGACAGTTAATGCCTTGTCTTACATTCCCATTTACTTGTGCGGTGCCCGAAGTTACTTGCTTTTTATTTGTGGATATAGTGTCACAGTCAAATTTAATGTACTTCTTCCTCCAGTTTGAATCCACAGGATTCCTTGTTGTTGCTCTTTAGAATTGCCAAATGGAATTAAAGTGGCACAGTTTTGGGTCATGATTTTTATGGGAAAAAAATCAACTAAAATATTATAACCAAATTGATGATGCTCATTGGGGCCACATCACACCGAGATCCTTGTGATGGTCTTGATATGGAAACAGCTGAATTTAATGTGAAACAAGTGGCAATAAACTTACAGGTATTGTTTTTTTGAGAAGGATAAACAATGAGACAAATAATACAATGTGTTACGAGTTCTGCGTTGCGCTTATTTTGTAGTGTTTATCATGACGCTTGAAAGAATTTTACATGTGTATTCAGGTATTATAGAGAAACTGAGGCACCAAGAAACAACTGATTTTTCTCGGGGGCACAGTGAGAGTCTTCACAGATCTAGGAAGGAGGCATTGTGAAGTTTCCCATTCTTTTAATGATGTACTTGCACATTGAAGGTGCTGTAAATATTTTCAGTCTTGTTTTATTTAAGGGGTATCAGGCCACCTTGCTATATGAATAGTGGACTGATTTTTCTTATTAGTGTATCTGTATGTGGTGGAATTGTGGGCTGTGTTGCTCAGTGTGGGAGTCATCTGGTGGTGTTCCTGTGTAGCAGGGGGTCTGTAGAGGTGGCAGGGGGAGGTGAGAGAATTAAGGGGGCAGAAGCTGCCTTTCTGCTTTGGGGTGCACCAGCTGATCAATTTCTTTGTGATGTCTTTACTAGGAGCCTTCACGTAAATGGGTCCAGTCATGCCTCCCAGTAAGAAGCCAGAAAGCTCAGGAATCAGTGTCTCCAGTGGACTGAGTCAGTGTTACCGGGGCAGCGGTTTCTCCAAGGCCCTTCAGGAAGACGATGACCTCGACTTTTCTCTGCCTGACATCAGATTAGAAGAGGGGGCCATGGAAGATGAAGAGCTGACCAACCTGAACTGGCTGCACGAGAGCAAGAACTTGCTGAAGAGCTTTGGGGAGTCGGTCCTCAGGAGTGTCAGCCCCGTCCAGGACCTGGACGATGACACCCCCCCGTCCCCTGCCCACTCTGACATGCCCTATGATGCCAGGCAGAACCCCAACTGCAAACCCCCATACTCCTTTAGCTGCCTCATATTTATGGCCATCGAGGACTCTCCAAGCAAGCGTCTGCCAGTAAAGGATATCTACAACTGGATCTTGGAACATTTTCCGTATTTTGCAAATGCACCTACTGGGTGGAAAAACTCAGTGAGACATAATTTGTCATTGAATAAGTGTTTTAAGAAAGTGGACAAAGAGAGGAGTCAGGTAAGCCTCTGTGTCTAGAACTCAAGTTTGTTTTAATTTTTAATTTTTCACCATTAAAAATGAATTTCTATTTTCCATACTGAAGTAGCAGTTGTAAATGGATTTTGTTTTGTTTAATTCGTTTAGATAATTATAAAGAACTTCCTTTTCCTAAGTGTGTTGGTTATGTACTATTTGTAGTGTTTGTACTGTGTGAAGATTTCCCACTGATAGGAGTTTCCTAATCACATGATGGTGATTTGCAGACTCCATTCGTTCTCAGTATCATCCCTCAACGTGGGTGGACCACTTTGGTTTTAGAGTTCAAACAGAGATCTGTATTCCAAGGGCAGCCATTAACCATGAGGGGTGTGTGTGTATTTATATATATTTATATATTTGAGGAAAATTGCTACCAGGGGCTAGAGAAAAATGGCGTTTCTTTTCTTTCTGATTGTTAACTTGGAGAAAGGCAACTTCTCCAGTGTTCTGGAATAAATGGACAGTAATGGCCATTGGGAAGCATATGTATATACTGCAAGACCAAATAGACATGAGTTGCCCTGGTGACTTTCATGAAACCTGGTGTGGCTATGTAAGTATTTGACAACTTTGGAATGAAAATGAAAAATTGGCTCAGGGTAAGGTTTCCATTAGAGATTGACTTTAAAAATTTTGAATTTTGACTCTAAAGCCTTAGTTCATACTTCAAGGTTGACTAAAAGAAGACAGTGTTAATAATTTGCTTTACCTTTCTTTTGAGGCATTAAAATCTGTACAATAGAATAAGGTCGGTCTGACTGTTAGAGGTAGAAAACAAAATTGTGATCTGACTTTGCGTTCTGAAAAGTAGTACAGTCATGGTTAAAATTGCCAAAAAATGTTCCCTCCTCAAAGATTTCGCGTGCCTGTATTTTCCAGCTTTGTTTTTCTTATTAATGCTGCTGTGTGCAGCTGGAGTCCTGTTTTAAACTCTTTTTGGAGTTCAGATTTGGGCGCAGGACCACCGTTGTGTGAGGTCGGAGGCTATGCAGGGTTGGGGCCTTTAATTTCTGTCTCCCCAGAAACGCGTTTCTGTTTCAGGTAGAATCTTGAGCCTGAGACTATTCGACTTGTCATTGGTATGGAAGAATATGCGTAAGGAGGTGGCGTAGCCATATTTCTCCTTGCTCGAACTGAACATACTTGTCTGCAAATGCAGTTCCCCTTATGTTGAAGATAAGGGGTGGGGCTGTGGGGTCTGGGGAGGGGTGTTGCCTGGGAAGAGGACTAAGGAGCTTTACTTTGATCTCTGGTGCAGATGCTGCCTGGATCAAGTGTGCAAATGTGAATATTCATAAGTTTCCAGACCTCTCCTTCCCCAAGTCCTTACTTTTATGTAGCTATAACAATCAAAGTGTGCTACTTTTGATCAGGAAAGGGGAGTTCTGTGACAGTGAAGCTGTTGTCTCTCCACTAGCCTTTCTCCTTCCCTCCACATTTCAGTTTGGGCTTTTGGAGACCAACCTCTGTACTTGGCTCAGTTGAGGGCCTTAAGATCATTCTTTGAGCTTGGAGGAGATTCGTTACTTGCCAGTAAAGACTCGAGTCTGTGGTATTAAAAGCTTCTGTATAGGTGGGTCCTTGTGGCAAGAAAGGGAAGGTCTTAGAAAGCAATTGCACACTTAGCATGCGGAGAAGAAAGTGCTGTTCAGGTCCCCCAAAGCCACATGTCGCCGATAAAGCAACAAACAGGGCGTTTAGTTTGGCGTGAATGGAGTCTGCAAGTTGCCCCGTGCCTGAGTCTCGGTGTTTGACGGAATGCCGGTGCACATGAAAGTAATTTAGCAAATGCACACTCTGAAATGTTAGACAAGACCAACTCTAAAGGGTGCAGCAAGACTTGGGAGGATTATTCATCCGTCAGCCTTGGGGGGTGACAAGTGGGTGTTGGGTGTTGTGTGCTGAGGCCCACTGGGGGAGCGGCACTGCCCCCTCGCCGCCCCCACCACTTGATTCTGGGAGTCATGTTTTCCAGGGGTGAAGGTTGTCAATCCGGATAAACACAGATATCGCCTGTCGAAAGGGAATGGTTTTAAGGATTGGAGGTTGTTAATCTTATGAAATGTTGAGTTCTGGCTTCCTGGCCATCCTGACCTGTACTGACATGTTTCTGATCAAATGCCAGTCAGTTTTGTGGTAGGAGTTTGTTCCCAGTGTTTATGATGCTGTAGGAACAAAGGCGAAGGGTATGAGTTTTTCCTCTTTTCTCCGCTTTCCTTGGGTGACCCTGGGGCCGGCTGGGGGCTGCTGTGAGAGGCGTAGACTCCCCGGTATGCTCAGGTACGCCCAGATGCTTACACCCTACTGGCCTGGCCCAGTCTCTTGGGGTTTTCTCCTATGGCTAGCTGAGTAAAAGGAAGGCATTTCCTCTGATACTTTGCCCAGTGAAAGCCCCTTTGGCTCTATGGGTAAACTTGTCTTTTTCCCAGGGGATTTTATTTGGCAGTAGCTCCCACCCCGAGGTTGGTCTCAACACAATAACTGAATGCACCTGAACATTGTTGAGAAATACGGTAGATGAAGGGGAGGATGGAGGCCCTGCAAGTTGTATGCACTGAGTTAGCCATTCCACTTTTTGTTTCTTCTGGGAGTGAAGAATACCACTGAGCTTGGCGTAGCAGTGAGAATGCGGAATGCTGTGTGATCTTGTCCCTGAGGGCTTGGAACTATATACCCTGTTAGGCCGGGATGTTGGAGAGGGAACGAGCTAGACTGCATCAGCATCACCTGTGGCACTTAATTACCAGTTCTGGGGCCCTCCTTGGAGAACCTGATTCGGTAGGCCTGAGGTGGGTTGGGGGAAATTGGTAGTTCTGATAAGCTTCATGGGTGTTTCTGACATGCAGCCAAGTTTGAGAATCCCTGAACTAGATGCCCTTTTGGGTTCTTTCCAGTTGCTGAGATTTCATCAAGAACACATTCTCATGAATGAGTAAGTCTAGGGGAAAGAGACAGTTTTGCTTCCGTTTTATCTCTTAAAGGACTTCCAAAGATAAGAGCTTTATTTTTATTTTCTGATCATGGAAAATTTCAAACATACACAGAAGTAGAGAACAGTATAATGAATCTGTATACCCAGCACCCCTGTGACCCACATCCAGATTCAGTCGTTGACAAAAGTTTGCTTCGCTTACTTCATTCATTCATTCCCGTTGTTGCTAATGCTGAAGCAAAGCATTTAGAAGCAGATCCGAGCTCTCATGTCATTTTATTCCAACGTACTTCAATGTGCATGAGACTAGTTGATAATTTCTTATAGAACCACCATGCCAGTGTCCCCACTAGCAAAATGAATAGTCTTTTGGTGTCACCTGATACTGGGTCCATGTCCCTGATTGTTTACAAAGTGTTTGTTTGAATTAGAATCCAAACATGGCTCACGGTGTTGCATTTTGTTGTGGTATTTCTTAAGTCTGTTTTAATCTACAGCTCTCCTATGCCCTCTACCCAGTTTCATGCCTTTCCCTGTGAAACAGTCACCTTGGCTGGGCTCAAGAGTGCCCCACATTCTGTTTGCCTCCTGGTGATTTCATGTTTCTCTCTCCTCACACATCCTGTCAAATGGAAGTAAGCACTAAAGTCTAGATCACATTTTGGAGTGTCGTGTGTCCTTCCTGACACATCACTTTGGGAAGCCTGGTTGACCCACTGCTGGGGACACTGTGATTGAGCCATGTGGGGTCAGCTGTACCCTGCTCTGTAATGTTCCTCATCAGCCTTCGCTTTGACGGTTTCATCTATTGATGGTCTTTGCCTAACTCAATTAAGGTGCAGTCATAAAGCCCGGGATTAAGTTTTATACCTCCAAAATATAGGTCTTAAATTTAGGACCGTAAGATTAGCATGTGCTAACCTCTCTGAGTATTTGTAAATGAGAATTAAAGCACAGTTATTCACAGTTATTTTTTATAGATTGGATTATAGTGGCCCAGGTATGTGTGTTTCTATTTCTGTGCTTTTTTTTTTTTTTTAATAACTTCCTCTCTTGCTACTTTACCAAAAAACATTGCCCTAAGAAGGTTTACAAAGGAAACACTGTACAAAAGTATGTTTATTATATCCAGGGCTGAGTGGTGCTTACAAATCTAGGCAGCTCGACTTGGTTGAAAGAGGACTGCATTGGAAGGCAGGATACCTGGTTCTAGTTTTGATGCTGACAATCCTTGGATGTCTTAGCAAGAGTTTATAGTTAACGTGGTGGCCTTTGCATATCAGAGGCTCTGTGGACCACCTAAAATTATTGCCAACCTGTCAGGTGACTATGCATATTGCATTTCTCTAGGGAGAGGACCCCAGTGTTTTGTTTGTTTAGTTTCTAGATTCTTCTTTTTTTTTAAGAGGTGGGGACCTTGCTATGTTGCTGAGCCTCCTCTTGAACTCCTGGGCGAAGTGTTCCTCCCTCCTCAGCTTCTCGAGTAGCTGGGACTACAGGTGTGTGCAGCTACACCTGGCTTAGTTTCTAGATTCTTAATGGAGCCTCTGATCAAGGAATGGTGAGAACCACTGGCATTTTATAATAACAACAGTGGACATATATGGGATACTGCTTTGTGCTTTCCATTTGCAGTGCCCATTTCTTCCTCACTTCAACCCTATGAATAAAGCCCTGTTATTTTCCTTCCTAAAATAGAGGAGGAGTTAAGCTCTGGGTGGTTAAGTAACTTGCTGGAAGTCACACAGCCTTCCCTGTTGGGTTGAAGAGGCTTTGAAATTTCCCTTTGGAATCACTTTAGTTGCAGGATAATTCTCTGCGGTGAATAATATAGGAAGCTGGCACACTGACTTTCCATTTGAAAGTTATGAGTTTTGCTTTTTCACAAAAAGTAACGGGTTGTTTGGATTAATCGTACTCTTTCATGGAGCCCTGGCTCATTTTAATGCCCTTGAGCTTGGGCAAGATGGTGGGACATTTTAGAAAATTCCATATAGAAAATTCTACCACTTTTCCAATGGACATATTTTGTACTTGAAACAGAAGA